GTTGCTGCTGCTGCTGCCGGTGTGTTTGTGGTTATTGTTGTTGTTGTTGTTGTTGTTGTTGTTGTTGTTGTTGTTGCTGCTGCTGCTGCTGCTGCTGCTGCTGCTGCTGCTGGTGTTGTTGTTGGTGTTGTTGTTGCTGTTGTTGTTGTTGTTGTTGTTGTTGTTGTTGTTGTTGTTGTTCTTTTTGTTGTTGTTCTTGCTGCTGCTGCTGCTGCTGCCGGTGTGGTTGTTGTTGTTGTTGTTGTTGTTGTTGTTGTTGTTGTTGTTGTTGTCGTGGTGGTGCTGGTTTGTTGTTTAGTTGCTAGCTGTGTATTGTTGCTGTTGATCATCATTATCATTATCATACTTGTTTAGCGGTGCCACCAACCGGATATGGTATTTCTTGTCACCATAGCGTCATAAAGGCTTCAATCTGCAATCACATCCTCTTACTCTTACGGTGTGTCCCCAGCCTCGTTACAAAACTGTTTGGTGTCGGTTTGTAGCACGAGATGTTAACATCACGTCATGAGCCACACAACAGTTGTGATGGCGACATTGACGTTGTTGTTAACGATAAAGGCGATTGTGCTGACGATGATGGTGTTGGTCATGGTGATGGTGTGTTAAAAATTGCGGGGACAAAAGAAGCGTCTATTATTGTTCTTGTCATTGGGTGTCTCGAATGCGATGACTCTGATCATTAGCCTGTATCTGATTTGGCTTCCGAGCTGCGGATTAGGGGTGAGGAGTTAGATACCGGGCGGACCATGTCCATGGTGCTTGCAACTTGAGCGTCACTTTTTCCAAGCGCTACATTCGTGCTGGGGGAGTGTTGTCAGCAGGGTTGGGTACAGGGCTTGGCACCGAAACTGCGGAACAGAAGCGACATCAATCTCGAACGTTTTTTTGCTGTCTCCTAAACCCTAGGCCCTAATCCCTAAACCCTAAACCCTAAACCGTTTCAGGCATGGGCCTGGCGGAGCATGTCATCGCGTGCTTCTGGTTTGGCTTGGGCCAAACCAGATCGGCCGGTGTCTTGGAATTACAAGTCCGCTACCTCGTGCGAGGACGGCAGCTAATATATATATATATATATATATATAACTTATCTAATATGTATATATATATATATACAACGTATATATAAAGATATAGAAGTTTAAATAGTTACCAATACTACTGCTAGGGTTCCCTGTTAGAATAATACTAGAAAGGAACCCAAAACCCATTCGAATTCTTAAGGCGCCTACATCATTGGTTAGGGTTTAGGGTTTAGGGTTTGCTTCTAGGTTCCTGAGTAGCACCCTTTTGCGCTTTTCATTGTATGGTTCTCTTATTAAAGGTGAATAACAGGACGGAGGGTACCCTTGTTACTCAGGGGTTACTCAGGAACCTAGACTTACAACGCTGAGAAATGACCATAAGAAATTCGGACAGTTAGAGGCCTTCTTGTAGACGCAAAGTTCCTGATCCCTCCAAACAGAAAGCACGGTGGACAGGGCTTTGGAGGCTTGGCCGAGTGTGCGCTTTAGGGAATTTGGTAGGTTGAGGGTGTCTGAAGCTTGTGATGTGAGTTGTGTGTGAGTTGAAGCGCAGGGCTATAGAGAGCCATGGAGATCTGCGTGTCAGAGGTAAGTCTTGCAGTTGCCTTTTAGACATGCACTGGACCTGTTCTGATGCTGTTGACTACAGGGAATCCAGCACCTTACTGGACCTTTTCTTCTTGGCACTCTTATTCTACCTTCACCAGGAACTGGATCATGCGTACGGAGACGGTTCAATCCATAAGGCACCAATGCCTCGACTCGAAGTAGTGAAACCTTGCCTCGAACAGCTTTCCAAAGCAGTCGTCTCAGGTGAGGAAACGTGGATCTCAGTGTCTCCGTATGCAGAGCATCTCGAAAAATGCAGATTCCAACAGTAATGGGCCCTTTCGGGTTTGGGATGTACGGTGTACCAAAACACACAAGCTACCCACACGGACGCCAGGATTCCCACATACACCCATAATATGATTACATCTGGTTTGGAGGTCTAGGTGCATGGACTGGCATCATCTAGCCTGCTCCACAGAGGATTCTGGAGCATGTGTGTTTCTTGTAGCGGCTTTCTGCAGGCACATACCCAAAGGGTCCTAAGTACCTATATAGTAGAATGTAGGGTTTCTATATTAGGAACTACTATTATGATTTGGGGAAGTATCCCCCAAAACAGTACATAGGACCCTTTGGGATAAGCAGATGATGTTGTATGACTCAGAGCTCGACTTGGCGAACACATGAGTGGTTCTCCGGTCTTCTTCCAAATAGTACCAAAGAGTACGGTGCCCTTATAAACAGGACCCTAACAGGGAACCTAACGTAGAGAACCAAAAGTATCTCTCCTCCAGTCTCATATCGCAGATCGTACTGACTGGCCAGGGCATGCAGCGACTCCAAATTCCCAGGCTAGGCCGCAGAGTTGAATCTGAATGCATCTGAAATTGCCTTAACCTTGAACCCAAAACCCCGAAACCCGAAACCCGGAAGCCAAACCCACGCAAATAAGCCCCAAATCGAAAATCGTTCTTTCCGACCCAGGCAGGGCTTCATGCTTCAGTACTTGGCGGCCCTACGTCTCGCGGCGTGGGACTTTCAGTCTAGTGCCCCAAGGGTTTAGGGTTTAGGGCTTAAGTTTAAGGTTTAGGGTTTAGGGTTTAAGTTTTAGGGTTTAGAGGTTAAGGGTTGTGCGTCTAGGGTTAAAGGGCTTGCGGGTTTCGGGTTTAGGGTTTAAGGGACAATGCACGACTATGAGTGCCTGATGGCTTTGGCCGCACAGGGGTTCCGATTCAAGTGCATTAGTAGCTGTAAATGTCTTGAGGGCTTTACCGTTGAACTTTTGCACTACAGAGGGAGATGGACCGCTACGACCTTGTGGGTGGATGCAGAAAGATGCAATCCTGCAGTTCACGAATTGTGTTCCGTCCCTTTTCGACCATCACATCAACTGGAGCGTTCGCTTCTTTCATAGTATGCTAGTGAGACATCTTCTGGCTTCGAGGAGGGCTAAGTTGCCGGAGCATGGGAAGTATGGGAAACACAGGTGTACTCAGTTTCTGCATACGGGTCAAGAGGGATTTGGATGAAGCGCATTCATCTGCAGCTCGATGTAGCAGCCCCGAACCCACAGTCATGCTTGATCAAACACAAATCAGCATGAATATTGTTTGTGACAACAGATTGAGAAGGTTCTTAACAATGGCATTCCCTGATGTGTCTCTGTAGAACCACATATAATATCATGTGCCTCATAACCCACTCCAAATATTGGCCCCCCTTGCATTACCCTTTCACACCTGAGGCTTTGGAAAGCCTGAGTCCTCCCTTGAATGCCCGGTTGACCTTAGAGTGCAGTTGCCTAGCTTGTGTCACATCCTTGTACATTTTCTGTCCGGGTAAACTAAGGCCCTTCAGCAAGGCTTAGAATATGGTTGCAGCTTGGAACTCTTGATACAAGCCGGATCCCTACTCCTTCAAGCATCAATCCAAGCCAGAGTGAGCCTAATTTATCCCTAAGCCAGTATAAACAAGAAGTCTAAAACTGAGATGGTTTCCATGAGCTTCACTAGGGCTATTATTCAGGACCATCCTTCGTCACTGCTGGAATAAGAACCCTAAGCTGTAAACCACAAACTAACCTGTGAACCTCGACGCCCTTACAGACACACACACACACACACCTACTGTGGCAATTATGCCTCGAGGTTCCTGAAGTATAACGTGCCTCGAAACCCACTGTTCTAGCCATGCAGCCTCCTACATCAACCCCCCCAACGATACCCGCTCTAACAGTAGCCCTATAAAGGAGCCCCCGAAACCCTAAACCCTAAACCCTTTACAGTAGCCCTTAAAGGAGCCCCTTAACGGAGCGACGCTTCTTAAAGCCCGAGTGCTAGCTCCCTCAGAGCTGCGAGGTTGGGCGCTGGCCCAGCAGGGCATGGGCAACACAGAGATCGAGGCCTGAAGGTTGGGTTTAGGGTTTGGGGGAGTGTTCAAGACCCGAAAACCCACACCTTATGTCCAAAACCCTAAACCCTAGGTCCAAAACTCCAAGCCCTCAGCCTTGTAAAGGCTTCTGTGGATGGCACTAGGGTGGTTCAGGGAGCTTCAGGCTTTAATGTGTTGTTTTGTTGGCTTGTTCTCGGGAACTTATGATCACAATGACAACGATAAACCCTTAAACCCCCTAACCCGCCTAAACTCCCTAAACATTAAACCTTAGTTAATGACAATGATCGTAGGGGGTTTGATGGTGAAGGCCCTAAGCCCTAAAGCCTAAACCGTGCGAAGGGTCTTTAGGGAGTTGGGTTGAAGGTCTGAGGTTTGTTTGGTGTTGTTTGTTTTGCGGCCGGTTTAGGGTTTCGGGTTTGGGGTTAAGGTTTGGGGCTTGGGGTTGTGGGTTTGGGTTTAGGCTTTACGGTTCTAGGTTTAAGGCCCAGGGTCCAGGGCCTAGGGTCTGGGACGGCTTGCCCTAACCCCCCAGGTACCTACTATATAGGGTACTAGAGCCCCTAGGGCCCTATATAGTAGGTACCTGGAGGATTAGGGTTAAAGTACAAGGTTTCGGTTCTTGCGGGTGGATGCGAATAGTTTACTCCCTGAATACGGATCTACAAATCAATGCTCTCCAGGACATAGCCACCTCTACTTATTGAGGTAGTTGGTTTAGCTGCAAGCGGTTCTGCTCCTTTTCGCAAGCTAGACCCTAAACCCTAAACCCTACAACCTAAACCCTAGACGGGTTCGGGATTTCACGTTTGTTTTTTGATGTTAGGCTCTGAGTTGGGTTTTGTGATGCGGGACTTGGCATGGGGCGCCTGGAGGGCTTTGTGCAGTCTGGGGTTTAGGGTTTTTGGGGTTCAGGGTTTAGCTTTTTAGGGTTTAGGGTTTTGGGGTTTAGGGTTTTGTGCGTTTTAGGGTTTTGGGGTTTGCGGTTTTGTGGTTCAGATTTCGGATCTGGTGTTGCTTTTTCTCGGTGGCACACTGCAAGCTTGTCGCTCGTCATTGCACCAGCGCACTATACGCAGATCCATCAATGCGGTTCAGAGACCCTTCTGTACAACCATTCAGTCTAAGACTGCGGAAGATGCCATTGGCCGGTAGCCCGGTAGCCATGAACAGAACTCACTGAACCGTGTGGTGCACCGGCGGAACAACATAGGTTCTCTCTTGTTAAAACCGTAGAAATACCCAAGTTAAGTGCTCACGCCGAAACCCTCAACTTCAGACTCTGAACCCCTGAGCCCTAGACGCTAAAATGCTCAGCCTACACTCCAGACCCGCACCTCAGGCGATTTCACTCAGGGAGGGAATTTACACCTGTGGCGTGGCGCAGCTCGTCCTCCAAGCCTGGGTGCTCGGCCCATGGAAGCTATGGGTCTTGTGACGGTGATACATGCCCATGCCCACAAACACTGTCTGTATGTACGTCCGTATGCATGACGTGTGTTTTTTGGGGGAGACAGACAGAGAGAGAGAGAGAGAGAGATAGAGAGAGAGAGAGGGGAGGTAACCCCTGCACCACGGCCCTGGCGAAAGAAAGAAGGAGAGAGAGAGAGAGTGTGTGTGTGTGTGTGTCTGTGTGTGTGTGTGCGCCTGCATTTCCAAGGTTTATCTCGCTCCTGATCTTCAGTACTGTCATCAGCTCGATGACTTCCTTGGTCTCGGCAGTTCACGGAAAGAGGAGACGGCCCAGGGATCCTAAACCCTAAACCCTAAACCCTAAACCCTAAACCCTAAATACCCTAAACCGTACCGAATACTGGACAGCCCGGAAGGTATGAGAAGTGAGACTTTAAAGTCGAAGAGTCCAGGTCGCCAGTAGTTACTGTTTAAGGTTTAGGGTTTAGGGTTTAGGGTTTAGGGTTTAGGGCTTTCTTCAGAGATGAGAGCTCTACAAAAGTGGTCTGAATAATAAATACACTCACGTTCCGCGACAGTTTAGCTGATAAACACACCCCAACACCCAAATTATAAAACTAAATCCTAAGCCGTTTGCCCCGAAACCCCAAACTCTCCAAACCCTCACAGCCTCAATTTACGCATTCGGAACACCGAAACCCCAAGAATTCCGCCCGGAGACGCCGCAGGATGCTTGAGATGCAGCAGATGGGGATCCTAAGGCGGTTCCTGCGGCAGAACAACATCCCGGCTGGGCCTCACGGCCTTTTTTTATGTCCAAGTGGGAGTTTCCAAAAAATAAGGGTTTAGGGTTTAAGGTTTAGGGTTTATAAGGATCCTACTATTTCGGGCACTAGATTAGGGTCCCCTGTTTTCGGAAACCCCCAAGTGTACCCCAAACCCAAAGCCCCACAGCACCCTAAACCCTAAACCCTAAAAACTGCTAAACCCTAAGATCTTAAACCCGGAACCCTGAAAGCCCTTAAACCCTAAGATCTTAAACCCTACTATAAAGGGATTTGCTACACCCTGAACCCGAAGCGCGAAGCCCTCAGAGTCTGGAGTTGCTTAGGGCTCCGGGCTGAGGGGCTGCAGTCCTCAAAGGAGGGTTTAGAGTTTAGGGTTTAGGGTTTAGGGTTTAGGGTTTAGGGTTTAGGGTTTAGAGTTTAGGGTTTAGGGTTTAGGGTTTAGGGCTCAATAGGCTGTTGCACTTTGCTTTGAGTTCTTTGGGGTTGAAGATTTAGGGTTTAGCATTTGGGGTTTAGGGCTTAGGGTTTTAGGGTTCAACTAACCTGAAAAGCCAAAGCCAAGGGTTTTCTGGTTTGACGCGTCGGCGTTGCCGGCTTTGATGTACATTTCAAAACCACTCCCTGTCCCTAACCCTAAACCCTAAAACCCTAAACCCAAAAACCCTAAACCCTAAACCCTAAACCCTAGAACCCTCAGCTCTTAAAACCAGAGCAGCTGAGGCATGGATACAGCCCAAAGCCTCGCTCACACCAGAACCCTAAACTCCAACATAGACACGGTTTAGGGTTTAGGGTTTAGGGGTTTAGGGTTTAGGGTTTAGGGTTTAGGGTTTAGGGTTTAGGGTTTAAGAAACCTTGGATCTTTGTTAGAGTTCTTTACGTGAGCCCTAACATTTTGGGGTTTGGGGACAGGGTTTACTACTCAAGTTCCTACATTTTAATAAACTCAAAACCTTCATAAGCCAGAGATACTAGTCCTCCTAAGCCCTTGTTCCAACCTTCTGGGATTCGCTGTGATTTTGACACGGTCGAATACCAAAGCTTTGAACCTCAAACTTTTTTAGGGTTTAGAGTTTATAGGGCTTCGGGTTTGTAGGGTTTAGGGCTTATAGGGTTTAGGGCTTCTCGGGCTTATAGGGCTTATAGGGCTTCGGGCTTCTAGAGCCTATAGGGTTTATTGGGTTGAGGGTTTAGGGCTTATAGGGTTTAGGGCTTATAGGGTTTAGGGTTTAGGGTTTATAGGGTTTAGGGTTTAGGGTTTATAGGGTTTAGGGTTCTGATACAGCCGAGACCCTACAACGGAAATCCTAAACTGTGGCCTTGTACGGCTTAGGGTCGCAGCCTTCAGCAGCCGGCCGTGGGTTGAAGAGCCCCAAAACCTTCCTTTTTAGATAGTTGGGGCCCCTACTATAGGGGCCTTAAGAAGTAGAACAGGGTTTCGGGGTATAGTATATTATAATCATAATCAGGAACCGCCCCAAATCAATAGTATTGGTAATGATTCAGGCTCTATATTACAGTAAGCCAAAACCTGAAAGCCAACACATGTTTTGTGCAAATTGAGCCTCTCAGGCTCAGTGCGCGAATCACCCGTTTCCTTCAGCCGCTTGTCCTTTCTTTTGGCTTTCGCCACGGTTTTCGGTCTTCGGAAAGAATATGGGGTTTGGGGTTTATCAGGGTAATAGGGTTTTTATCCCAGGCTCAATCATATTCTCCAGGAGGGCAGGGTCGATAACAAAAAATCCTGACGCTTGGACGACCCCCTCTGAGCTGCAGGGATTGAGATCTTCGCTTAAGGGTCCAGGTACCTAGTAATAATCTGGGTAGCTCTCAAAACTCGGGTCCCTTTCTAGGTCCTGAATATAGTATGGCGCCCCTATGAAAAGGACCCGAAAAGGAAACCTAATTTTGAGAACTACCCATACACTTTCGCACATACGAACCTAGGCTTATTGGGTGCTTTGGACCCGTAGGATTCTCTCCGTTTCGTTTTTTTTGGGGGAGGGGGGCAGACGAAGGCTTCTTAGTGTCTCAGGTCCAGGAGGTACTTGGAGGTTCATGGGTAGTTATAAGTGGGGTTATAAGTAGGGTAACTATACTTATAACCCATATTAGGGGACTTATAACCCTACTTATAACTACGCATGACCTCCAAGTAAGGTTTAGCATGCAGCGTTTAGGCGTTTGGGAATGTAGGGGTTTGGGAAGCAGGTTGTCTACAGGTGAAGCGTGCAGTAATGCGCCAAAGGACTCACATATTCAGGTACTGGGGTCCAGGGTCCGTCCACATTCACTGCCATTGAAAGAGGTCCAGACCCTAAACCCTAAACCCTAAACCCTAAACCCTAAACCCTAAACCCTAAACAGAAGGTACGGTCTTCTCAGCTCTAGTTTCAGAAATGTAGACATATCGATCGGCAGCGGTACGGGTCTGGAATGCGAAATTTCCAGAACTCGACACCGTAGTGTTGAGCGGTTTGGCTTACGGCTCCCGCTGTAGTATTAGGGAGAAACCACAAAGGGGACCCTTCTTATCCCAGCTAATGGCTCTCTTAAGGGCGAGCGTATTGAGACCAACGGTCCCCCTCATCTTAACTCCTATCCGTCTACTGCAAACTCCTTGAGTGTAAACACCTTGAGCTTTCAGTCAGGGCTTGGCGCTTGGGCTTTAAAAAAATCCTCAGGTAGTTTAGGCAATGAGGTTTATCTTATGAAAAGCCGACACCTCAAATCGTTGACCCAGAAGCTAATTGTGAGGAGTCGCAATCCGACCACGACATCCTGTATTTAAACCTCCCTACACCCTCACGACTCTAAACCCCTAAACGTGGTACTCAAGCCCAAAGGCCCGAAGCAATCGGTTCCAAGATCCTGAGAATCCTTAGTTTCATGGTTGAGAGTTTAAGTTTATGTGGTTAGGGCTTCGGGGTATAGGGTTTAGGGGTTTAGGGGTTTAAGGTTTAGGGTTTACAGAACCCAGGCGCACCTGAAAGTGAACCCGAACCTTGCCGGCCCTGAAGCTTGAAAAAGAGACCGGTGTTATATGCCGAATCTGATGCGATATGTTTCAGTACTACTAGCCGGAACCTGCGACACTTCTCGCTGGTCTACGGAAGCTGAGGTACACGTACCATCAAGTAGCCTCTGAGTCACACAGCCAGCCGCCCATCCTGGAGCTGCTGCCACGGTCGTTGCATGCAGAATTACAGTTCGCTTGCTACGAGCATCTTGGATCGCACTGGCTTGTGAACAAGATGACGTGAAGCTCAGAAAGAACAATCACTCAATGTAGAATCCCAACTCTATTCAGTAGGATCCTTACGATACAGTTGCATGCCACAAAGGCTTTCGACTCCTGGTAGAGTTTGATTTTGCTGACTTCAATGATAAGGCAGTGATATGTGGGAGCTTCATGAGAGTCTGGGTTCTAGGGTGGACAAGATCTTTCCCATGGAAACCCCATCTTTTTTGTGCGTGCGCTGTAATGTAATGTAATGTAAATGTAA